TCCATCATGTGAGATTAGGCCCTGACTTCCTTAATAAGACTCCTATAGCACAAGAATTAATATCAAGAATCAATAAATGGGATGGATTCAAACTAAAAAGCTTCTTCCCAGCCAAAGAAACAATCAATGAGGTGAATAGACTACAATTTGGGAACAAATTTGTTTTTAAATATTTTGTTTTAGTTATAGTTGGATACAATACCTTTATTTTATTTTTATGTGGTATTGAGGATCAAACCCAGGGCCTCACTCATGCTAGGGGAGCGCTCTACCGCTGAGCCATAACTCCAGCGCCAGGAACAAATTTTTAACATATGCATATGAGATAGAGCACTAATCTCTAGATATATAAAGAACACAAACTCCAAACCCACAAATAACCCAATCAATAAATGGGCCAAGGAACTGAACACTTTTCAAAAGAAGATATACATTCGATCAACAAATATATGAAAAAATGTTCAACATCTCTAGCGAGTTAGAGAAATGCAAATCAAAATTACTCTAAGATTTCATCTCACTCCAGTCAGAATGGCAGCTATTAATAATACAAACAACAATAAGTGTTGGCGAGGATGTGGGGGAAAAGGCACATTCATACATTATTGGTGGGAATGCAAATTGGTGCAGCCAATATGGAAAACAGTATGGAGATCCCTTGGAAAACTGGGAATAAAACTGAAGCCAGATTTAAAGTTAGGTAAATCGGGTCTAATATCGAGTAAGATCCAAAATGGAGGCCATGTTTAGAATGAATTCTGGGAAAAGTTGAACAACTCTTGGAATGTTAATGAAGTCCGGGAAAAGTCCAAGGTCCAGAGCCCATTCCAAAGAAGTGTTAATAAACAGCCCCCAGCAAACTTGAAGATGTTGACTCAGAAGTCCTTCCTGACCAGATTACTTCTTTGGCTCACCTGGGCCCCACCCTCGGGCCTTCCCACCTACATTCCATCACTGAAAGAACTATAAAAAGGGGAAACAACCGCACTTCCACAGATTCCATCTCTTGGGTCCCCTTCTTCCTCTGGGAGAAGTCTTTTCTGCTATCCTTTAATAAACTTCTAGTTTCCACTCTGACCTTGCCTCAGTGTGCTTCTCTGGTGTTATTCTTCAATATTGGGGAAGCAAGGACTCTTCACCAGTCAACAGCTGTAACAAAACCACCAGTTGACCCAGCTATCTTACTCCTTGGTCTATACCCAAAGGATTTAAAAGCAGCATACTATAGGGACACAGCCACATCAATGTTTATAGCAGCACAATTCACAATAGCTAAACTATGGAACCAACCTAGAGGCCCTTCAATAGATGAATGGATAAAGAAACTGTGGTATATGTACACAATGCAATATTATTCAGCATTAAAAGAGAATAAAATCATGGTATTTGCAGGTAAATGGATGGAATTGGAGAATATAATTCTATGTGAAGTTTGCCAATCCCAAAAAAACAAATGCCCAATGTTTTCTCTGATTTAAGGGTGGGGAGGGCATGGGAAGATTAGATGAACTAAAGATAGGGCAAAGGAAGGGGAGGGATAGGGAAGGGGCATGGGGGTAGGAAAGATGGTGGAATGAGATAGACATCATTACACTAAAACATGTATGAAGACAGGAATGGTGCTACGTATGTACAACGAGAAATATGAAAAATTTTGCTCTGTATGTGTAATATGAGTTATAATGCAACTTGCTGTCATATATAACAAATTAAAATTTAAAAAGAGATCGTTATATTTTATTTAAAGAATCACACATTTGTAAAAACTTTCTTTTGTTCTCTCCCCTATAGTGTGGGCGGAACGGTGAAATCCGCCTTGACGTAATTTGACATGATGGAAAGGGCTTTATACTCGGTACCCAATGACATCAATATTTGTCTCCTAACTTCACACTGGCCATCTTGGGACCTTAAGTTATTCATTAAAAAAAATTGATAACTCTTTAAATTATTAAAGAACAAAAATTGTACATCTACTTATATTTAAATAAAAATTAAAATCTGTTTTCGATTCCTATAAGCCCTTCAAATTCTCCATCAAATTGGGACTTTTCCAGGCGAGTCAAAAATGCTTGCTAAACCCCTTTCCTGGTCCACTCCTCGTAACCGCTTCTCATTAATATACACTGGAGGGCGCTGTAGCACCAACTAGCGTCAGCTGGCACGGAGTGAACGGGGGCGGGATCGAGGGCCGTCAACGTCGACGCCGGCGTGGGCGCGCGCAGTGCACACTGGGAGCTGTCACTAGGCCCTTCGGCTCTGGGCCTTCGTGTGGCTGTCGCGGTTGCCAGGAGAGCGGCGCCGGCGGGGAGCGGCCGAGCCCACGGCAGGTAACAGCGTCCCCGCCCCCAGCGCGGTCGCGAGGCTGGCTAGCTGCCTGTCCCGAGCAGCCTCCTCGGCCCAGCTCGTTCTGGAGCCACAGGGATGCCCCGCGGTGTCTGCCTGCTGTGGCGTCGGGGGTGTAGCCGCGGTCCCTCTTGGAGCCGCGACGCCGCCAGCCGCCCTCTGGTTTCCGGGGATTCGGGAGCTGCGCAGGGACCCAAGGGCCAGGGCCAGATGGAGGCGCGAGGGTGGCCCAGGGCAGGGGTGACTAGAGGCGAGGCCAGGGCGTCGGGTGACCTGATCCAAGCCTTGGCGCTGGGGTCAAGCAGTGCGCAAGGCTGGGGAAGAGGTCCCACCTGTGCTGTAAAGGCGCGCGGAGTAGCCTCTTTGTTGGTGGAGTCAAGGCATCGTGTCGTCTGCTTGGTCTGGTGGGTTCTTTTTGAGTAGGGAGGACGAATGTCAGTTATGGTCAATGGTCCCAAGTAAAGGGTTATAGAAAGGAGTACAGAAGTTTATTAAGAGGAAGCCGGAATAGACATACGGAAGTTGTTAACAATTATTCACCTTTGATTTCCAAAGTCTTTTGAAGTTGCATCATAACAATAGTTACTTGTTCCTTTTCCTCCATTCTTCCACCCTGAGGGGGCCCGAATGGCTCACAAGTGTGTTCTCTCTCTCTCTCTCTCTCTCTCTCTCTCTCTCTCTCTCTCTCTAGCTAAGTGAGTAGTGTTTTGATTAATCTTACATTATCTTAGAGTTCTATGGAGTTAAAGATAAAGATTGAAAAAGCCTGATTTAGAGACTGTAGTTAAAACAATGGAAAACATTTTGGTTTACCACAAAATATAGAAAACATAAGCCTTGAACTACTGAGGAAAGAAATTTGTTTTGATGTTGTTGGCTTTTGATAATGCAGACATAAATTCTTATATTTTAATTTTATTTGTAAATATTAATATAGCCTTCTATGAATAACATGTCAGCATTTTATGTACTAAGTCATTGCTTCATGGCCAACACAAAAGTTTTGTCAAATACAACCACAGGTAGTCCAAGTGCCTTATTTTAGTGATTGCTTTCAGACAAGCCTAATCACTCCTCAGAATTTCTAAACATTAATTAATCCCCAGGCAGACTTCATTATTAGGGACCCAATTTTTAAAAATATTTTTAAAGTTTTTTTATTTGTTGATGGACCTTTATTTTGTTTTATGTGGTGCTGAGAATCAAACCCAGTGCCTCACACATTCTAGGCAAGCACTCTTCCACTGAGCTCTAATCCCAACCCAGGGACCCAATCTTTTGAAGAAAGAATTAAAAACACCTTGGTTAATACACAAATCAGAAAACATGATAATAAAATATAAGATGTAAATTTAATGCTATCAATT